CAGACTGTCGGTTCACACCCCATCACAAGCCAGCAAAACATCCACGAAACAAAGAAAGGTCTGTCACAGCCAAAAAATACACTCCAGATATATATGTTCTATTTGACGATATATATATATATGATATTATATGTATAAGAAAATTATGGATCAGTGACAAAGAACTAGAAAAATACATAAGCGATTGCTTTAGCTCTGTTGACATTATATAACTAATAAATAGATTAAAAAAAGAAATAAACAAATAATTATATATATTATATATAAATAAATAAACAAAGAAAACTCACCAGTGCCATCTCTGTTTTTATCACATCCAATAGCCGCTATTGCTTGCACCATTCATCGACGACCTCCCACGCTCTTCTGTCTGCTTCCGCCTGAGAAACACTTTTTTTTTTTTCTACTGGAAAAAAAACGCGCTGTCAATAAATCTGCCCTTCCTTTCCTTTCCTCCCCCCCTTGTTTTTTGCTTTTTCCTCCTTTTTTTCTTTTTTTTTCTTCCTTTTTAACCGCTTTCGACCATTGGTTTGACTATACAACTAATCACATCAACCACTTCCTGCCGCTCCGTTTCACCTCTTTCTCTAGCACTCCCTCCTCCTCCTCCTCCTACTCCTCCTTCTCTCCCTCCTTCCCTCCTCCTCTCGAGCACAGTCGATCAATGTACGATTCTCTCGTACTCCCGCCTCCTCTCCCTCCTCCTCCTCCTCCTCCTCCTCCTCACAGTCGATCAATGTACGATTCTCTCGTACTCCCTCCTCCTCCTCCTCCTCCTCCTCCCTTTCTCCCTCCTACCTTTCCTCCTCCTCCTACGACTTCTCCTCCTCCCTCTCTCCTCCTCCTTTCCCTCTTCCTCCTCCTACTACTACTACTTCTCCTCCTCCCTCTCTCCCTCCTCCTTTTCCTCCTACTACTACTACTTCTCCTCCTCCCTCTCTCCCTCCTCCTTTTCCTCCTCCTCCTCCCTCTCTCCCTACCTCCTCCTCCTCCTCCTCCTCCTCTTGAACACAGTCAATCAATGTAGACTGTAGAGCAAGGGGGAGGACGCCTCTTCTGTGGCGCGCGACGGCCCCGATTGTCACTTTCTGTCCGTTGATTCACAAAAAAACGATCCCGTGTTCGATTCCTACGGTAATCCATCCACCATCAGAACCGGGAGAACAGGTAGAACACGCCCACTCCTCCGTCTCTCCCTTCCCCCTCCGCCACCTCCCTCTCTCCCTCTCTCCCTCTCTCCCTCCTCCTCTTCAACACAGTCGATCACTATACGCCAGGCGGAGGGCAGCTTTTGTCCCTCGCACCCTTATTGTCGCAGTCATTCCGTTCATTCACAAAAACTAGATCCAGAGTTCGGCTCCCGCAGATCCCACAGAACAGGTAGAACAAGCCAACTGGAAAAAGAAGAAGAAGAAAAAAAAAAAAAAAGAAGAAGAAGAAGCCAACTGCGAAAAAAAACCCGAAAAAAAAAAAAAAAAAAAAAAACTGCGAACAGAAGCCGCCAATGAGGATAAAAATCAGCCCTACCGGCTTTCCCCGAACATAACGCACCCTGAAAATGAACGTATACAAGGTATGTTTCCGGCCACCATACAAAAAAAAATGAGGCCGCCAATGAGGATAAAAATCAGCCCTACCGTCTTTCCCCGAACATAACGCACCCTGAAAATGAACGTATACAAGGTATGTTTCCGGCCACCATACAAAAAAAAATGAGGGTGCGTTGTGTTCGGGGGAAGAAGGTTGGCAGGCCCTGGTCCTTCGGGACCTGCAGGGAAGACGGTGTGGCCAGGTCCTTTGGGAGGGGTAGGTAGGTCGGCCGTTCGGTCCTTCGTCATAGCCACGCTCCACAGACTATGGGCCTCACTCCACTACTCACCAAATATGCAAAATGAGAATCGTTTTCACAAATGGATTGAAAAGTAGGTCCCGTGAGGTTCAAAACGGGCTTCCCATTCGGGATGCACAACTAGAAAAAGGAAAGAGGTGAGATTAGGAGGGGAACTTTCGGTAGCGCTGTGTAGCGCTAAAGCAGCGCTCTCGAATTAGTCTTAGCAGCGCTAATTCGTTACTCACCAAATATGCAAAATGAGAATCGTTTCCACAAATGGATTGAAAAGTAGGTCCCGTGAGGTTCAAAACGGGCTTCCCATTGGGGATGTACAACTAGAAAAAGGAAAGAGGTGAGATTAGGAGGGGAACTTTCCGTAGCGCTGTGTAGCGCTAAAGCAGCGCTAATTCGTTCTCGAATTAGCAGTGTTTTAGCAGCGCTAATTCGTTAGCAGTGTCTTAGCACTCCACGGCCGGCGGACGCTTGGCGAGAAAGTACGTGAGTCGAAGTCCTGTGGTCACGCGGTATGGAAGGACTGGCGTCTCGACCGGAAGAAGACATAGCTGAGCTATGTCTTCAGTTGCTCATATCCGAACCTCTCCTTGAGTGGAGAGGGAGTGCCTTTGCACTCAAGGATAGGGGCCCCAGGCGACTTCCTCCTCTGTCCCACCTTTCACTTCATTAAGTTTCTATCCATGGAAATTACCGAAATGTTGTCTCTTCAAACCCTAACATCGGTTACTGCAACATCATGTGGATTACTCGTGCCAGCGAAAGCAGGCCCGAGTCTCAGGCATAGACAATCGTTGGGAGCGGCGGACCGAGAGCTACAAGGGCACCTACTGGAAGAAAGATCCGGACGGCGTCGCAGCGGGTAGTGGGAGAGCCTGCAGCAATGGTGGGAGTGTGCCGGAAGACTTTGGATCAAGAGCCCCAATCTCAGCATGGGATCACGTGGAAGAACTGGAGCCTTGAGGCTCTGCTTTTGGTGCTCGTAGGCAGATGGATTCATTGGCTTTCCCTTCCTTAATATTTGGCAGTAGCCTTCGCTAGTAGGTAGTTAGATTCCCCGACATTATGCATCTACAGGACATAGTTTGTTAGGTTTATGGGTTGTGCGGTTTCCTACGGATGATTGAGGTTGCTGTTGCTTGAATTTCCTGGGAAGTAAAATTCTCCCGTGGTGCTAATACATATTGAGGTTCTGCTTTTGGTGCTCGTAGACAGATGAATTCATGGGCTTTCCCTCTCTTATGCTTAGAATTTGGTCGTAGCCCTTGCTGGTGGGTAGTTAGATCCCCTGGCACCATGCATTTACTGGACATATTTTGTTAGGCTTACGGGATGAGTGGTCTCTTACGCGGTTAGAAACTCTGTTTTTTCTGGCGTATTTAGGGTAATGATTGAGGTTGTTGTTGCTCGAATTTCCTGGGTAATCAAATTTTTCCCTGACATTAATATATATTATGCCTATAGTGTTTCGCATTTAGAAACACGCACTGGAATAGACACAGCAATGGCTCATCGCAATACGTTTATTTGTTCCGTGAAGAGTGACCTCCTTGTTTTCTCAGCGCTTTCTAGGCTAGTATTATTTGTTCTGTCACATGTATTTTCTCTTGTGTTTCGTAATTAGAAACACATATTTAGGGTCGGAATATTTGTAGTAATTCATAATTTTAGGTATTTTTGCCTCCTGATAAGTTTATCTTCTGTGTGAGAATAGTCAGTACGAACGAGCAGTGGGAATACTAATGGTTGGACGATAAGAGAGACCCGGTGAAGAGCAAATTAGAGTTGTATTCATTGGGTGCGTGGTGGGAAACCCGCCTTGGCAACAAAGGCTTTTTACAAGTTTTGGGATAGTGATGAAAAGAAGATACTCCTACAACCTATTCTTCTATCGACAGGGGCACTGCGGGGGTAGTGTGAGTGCCATCATCGGTGGTGGGAGAGTTAGTCGATTGTAGATATTATAAGAGTAGTTAGTATGAGAGAGCAGAGGGAAAACCAACGGTTGGACGAAATGAGAGACCCGGTGAAGAGCAAACTAGAGTTGTATCCATTGGGTGCGTGGTGGGAAACCCGCCTTGGCAATAAAGGCTCTTTACAAGTATTTTGGATAACGATGATGAGAAGGTATCCCTACAACCTATTCTTCTATCGACAGCGGCACTACGGGGGCAATGTGAGTGTCGTCATCAGTGGTGGGAGCGTTAGTCGATTGTAGTTATTATAAGAGTAGTTAGTACGAGAGAGCAGTGGGAAAACCAATTGTTGGACGAAAGGAGAGACCCAATGAAGAGCAAACTAGACTTGTATCCATTGGGTGCGTGGTGGGAAACCCGCCTTGGCGACAAAGGCTTTTTACAAGTGTTTTGGATAGCGATGATGAGAAGGTATCCCTACAGCCTATTCTTCTATCGACAACGGCACTGCAGGGGCAGTGTGAGTGTCGTCGTAAGTCATGTGGTGGGAGCGTGAGTCGATTGTAGTTATTATAAGAGTATTTAGTACGAGAAAGCGGTGGAAAACCAATGGTTGGACGAAACGAGAGACCCGGTGAAGAGCAAACTAGAGTTGTATCCATTGGGTGCGTGGTGGGAAACCCGTCTAGGCAACAAAGGCTCCTCACAGAGTGACTGGACAGTGATGATGGGAGGGTATTCCTACAACTTTTTTTTTTGCCCAGTTCCTCATCCTTGAGTTTATATGCAGTAAGTGGATATTTGTCTTTGGTTCGTTCTTAGTTTCCCGATTTGTTAAGCGCTGGGGTATGTCTGCAGGAGCTTCAAGGTTTATCTTCTTTATCTTTTTGAGAAGTTATTTTTTCAACTCTCTTGAGACAGAGTGGTTGGGATGCTGGACCCGGTTTCCAGCATGGTTCCCTTATGACTTCCGGGTTGAATTGTGAGGTCCCCGAGCTCGACCATAATTATTCTTTGAATATAAGCGACAAATTCTTAAAAAAAAAAAAAAAAAAAAAAAAAAAAAAAAAAAAAAAAAAAGATGCACCGCCATATTTTATTTTTTGTCTTTTGTGTCTGTGGTATGGAAGTCAGGTTGTACGGTGCACGAAGTCGCAGGCTGAAGTCTAAACCACCTCTACTACTGACCCTGTTTTTACCGAGCCTGAATTTTCACTGCGCACTGAGCAAGTTTGTCGGCCCTGGGTCCTCACAATTCAACCTGGGGCGAGGTCCCACTAGCAAAGAGGATTGGATTGAACTCCCCCCGACGCAAAAAAAAAAACGAAATACCGGTAGGCCGCAATCGGCCTTTGTTTGTTGCGCGACCGGATGTTCGCGGTCCGATTTCTCATTGGAGATGTGGGACCCGGTAGGCCGCAGGCGTTCGGAAACCCATCATCTCAGGCCGATGTCCAAGGGTGTTTTTTTTCTTCAGAACCCCTTGGTTTTGGCTCCTACCATTCTGGGGAGCGACAATCTGGTTCCTATTCCCCCGACAAGTCATTGAATAATACAAGATAAAAACTCACCCCATGCTCCTCCCCATTAGTACCCTCCAGTTGTCAAGGTCTTACCCTCCCACCACCGGTTGCCCGACCCTGGCCGAGCCTACACCTACCGGTAGTTGGCTAAAAAAAAACTAAAAACAAGGGAAAAAACAGAAAAATAAAGGAGAGAGAGAGAGAGAGAGATGAGAATGAATGCGCCCGGGAAGGTGGGAGCATTCATTCTCATTTTCGACATATCGAAACGGGTGGGTACGGGCGGAAGAGGGGGGGGAGGGGNGGCGGTGTCGAAAAGGTGCTGACACACTCACTCATTTTAATTATCTTTTTATTTTTTCTTATTTTTATCATAGTCTTTATTTTCTGTATTTGATTTTTAATTCAAATTTGGTAATGAATTGGGATGTAGTGCCCACGCAAATAATGTTTTTTTGTCCACGTTCAGCCCGAACGGCCGAATGTCTTTCGAAGGGGTCCCATACATTCAGGCGTTCGGGTTCGGGCGTTCGACCCGTCCCGAACGCCGATAATATATACACAGGGTGGCTGGCGTTCGAGATGGGCTGAACGCGCCCAAACGTACGGGACCCCTTGGGGATGCGTTCGGTCGTTCAGGCCGAACACAGATAAAAAAAAAAAAAAAAAAAAAAATCCAAAAAATCCAAAAAATATAAAAAAATCATATGTTATGCAAAAATAAAAACTAAACAATATTTTATTGAGCATTACATTCAAATTCCTTACCAAATTTGAAATTAAAAAAAAAGAAAATTAAATACTAATAAAAAAAATAAAAATAAATAAAAGGAGAAATTAGAGGATTAAAATTAGCGAGTGCCCAAACCTGTTTTCGATACCTCCATCTTTTGCAATTTTTCATTTTTTTTTTACATAGCCAAATGCTGCAACTTACATATGTGTACTTCACATAATACAAAACTCATGCGAAAAGTTTCAAAAAATAATAAAATATTTGAGGCATCAAAATAAAATCACAACAAAATGTGAAAATTGAAGGAAA